GACCCGTTCAGCTCGTCCTGGTGACGGGCTCGACGAAATCGGGTGCCCGCGTCTCGTCGATCTGTCGTTCATGTAGATGCTAACGAAGATACATCGGCGCGCGACGCGGCGTTGATAGGTGACGAACACGACGAGGACGACGACAACTAATGTGCTGATTAGCCGAGTACTACTACTCTCAGAATTCACGATCGAGCCGTTCCTTATTCTTTTTTTCTTTATATTCTTGATTTTCATGACGTCGATCGGGCTATCTAAAAATTTTTAAACATTCGCTCTCTTATGCCATATAAAAATACATTTGCCTTTCGTGCCAATTCGGCCGCAAAGCCAGCGAAAATGAATTTTCAATTGGAAAGGCGCGCGAACGATTGAGGTAAGGACTAAAGGTTTGACTTGGGCTTGGCATTAAATCTGTCAATTATTTTAAAAAGAGAACGCGAACTTTTATTCTGCCGACGAGTTGACAAGGCGTCGGCGCATTCCTTTGGAAGCATACCGCCGAGTCGACACGATGGGGAAAGAGAGTCCGCGAGATTTGCCATCTCTTGCATGCAACAGCTCAAGCGCCCGGGGACTCTGTTAGGATGACTGATAGGATATTTGCAAACACGGGTCCCTTATGCCGGGCTCTGTGTGCGAGTGCGCGAGCACACGTGCGCGCCACACCGTCAACTCGTTCGTTTATTCCTCGTTGTTAATGTAGTGAAGTTTACGTTGCTGCCCCCATTAACTGTATCCGTTGCTCAAGCGCCAAAGTACCGCGATATTGCCTCGAAGAAGGGTATTTGTAACCAGTTCAGCTAATATACCGCAGTCGACCCTATGGGAGTAAAAGTAAAATTTGCTTTAGATAATGAATTTTACTCTTTTTTTACTCCATATTAAATTTTTGAGAGATAATGGAGGACTCAGTCCGTTAAATGCTCGTTATTAAAGTTGTTTGGGGTTAGAAAGTTGTATAAAGTGTTCTACATTTATTGAATAGAGAAAGACACAAGACACACGCGCGCGCGCGCATACGAACACACGCATATATAATAAATATGAGTGGTTTGTGGCCCGGGGGGGGGGGCAAAATTTCCCAACACTATTTGCCAAATTCTATTATAATTGTAGATATGCTAAATATTCATTTGTAAACTTACGTGCTTAATGCGTTAACTAAGAAATAATATTTATTTTGATTATATTTAAAGAAACGAGCATATCGTCCAAGTTACAAGTAATTTCAAATGAAAATTATTTTGCATTTATTTGAAGTAATATTAAGGAAATGAAATAAAATTAACTTTTAATAACCATGTCACTTAAATTACTGAAATATTTATTTAATTGATTAACTATCTCACAAATAACTTCCATCGTAAATAAGAACATTTTATCGAATTAACAACGAAAATATATTCAATATAATAAAAGTTTATATAAACTATAATATAATTTGGATACCAAAAAATATAATTGAAAGTTTTTCATTAAATTTTTATAATCATAATCTTTTTCTAATTTATTTTGAAAACTCAATACTACAATTCTTTACAAAAACAGTTATTAATTTATAAATTTTAATCAGGAAGTATAACTATTTTGAATTGTATTTACAAATTTATTATCTTATAAAAGAGTGATAGATTATTTTCAATGACTTTATAAGAATCGGAGGAATTATTCGTTTAATTGTTAAAATAATATATTACAAAAATATCCAAAGTTCTTGCCCGAATTTTTTGAAAATACAATTACATATTTTATTTGTGATTTTATCTGTCCTTTCTTAATGCTCTTGATTGATTTTAAAAAATCTTAAGAATATTTGCTTAATATAAATGACAATGAACACGTAGTTTATTATATTTTTAAGTTTTTATATAATCGTCTAAATTAAAGAAAAATTATCTTAGTAATTGAATTTCAATGAAAATAAAGAAAAATTTAAATAAGCAAAAAATTGTTTTAATTATTTTTAGTTGAAAGAAGAAATGTGTAAATGTAAATGATATTGGAAATTTAATAATTCAACATAATTTGATTCAATACAAAACTATAGTTAGTTTTGGCTAATTGATATCTTTAAACCAATTAAAGTTATATAGTAGCTATAGTAAGGTAATAAATCAATATCTGAAAGATAAATGACAATTTGTTTTTTATGATGTTTAATGATAAATGTAATTATTAAGTAATCTTTTAATAAATAAGAAAGCAATAATAAGTATCTGCCAACTCATTTTATTAATATTATTTAAAACATACATGACATTTTCATATTAATTTTCTTTTTTTGTATTAAGAATCTTTTATTTCCAAGAAAATCAATATTATTTATATTTTGAAATTATTTTGATGATTATATCTGTAATGTATCCAATCAACTATTATCTAATAAATCATGGAACTTACATTATATATAAAATACAAACTATAAAATTTAAGTTTGAGTTGCAAATTTTTTTTGAAATTACTTCAAACAATTTGACTTTGCAAGTATAAAAATTGCTCAAATATATTTCTAATTTGTAAACAAGAATTTAATTCAACGAGTATTAAAATAAAATTTTTATATAAGTTTGTTACTATATATTACTTTATTATATAATTTAATAAATTATTAAACTTTTATTTTTCTATTAATAAAATAAATAAAAAAATTTAATTGTATATAAAATACATTTGCAATGTTGTCACTGTAACTATTAGGGTTTGTTGCTAAATTTTTATCATTTTCAATAATTCAACAATAAACACTTATGGTAAAAAATAGATTAATGTACGATATATTTTGTAAATGTAGAATAATGCACGTCAATTTACTTAAGGAAGTTGTTTTGTTTAGGAATTTAAAAGAAATGCATTGTATAACTTTTATCGAAAGTTGAAGTTGTTAATAATGTTTGAAAAGGAAAAAATTTTGTATAAAATTTAATTTCAACATTCAAAAAGGTAAACGAAGATTTCATGATAAACCAATACCGTGAATTACAATGTTTTTAAATCGTGATTAGTGAACAATTAATCAATTCATTTAGAAAATATATAGCTATTTTTTAATTAACAATTAATTACAGTTTGTTTCGATTATAAGTTTTCTGAATTTATTAATAGTTTTTCTTAAATTGAAGATTTTGAAAAATTCTTTATGAATTTTATCGTTCCCTATATGATCATTCCGTATGAAATTCTGGTGGTCAAATACGTTTACCATAAGCTAATAATTCATTTTGTCAAATTGATATAAATAAAAACATTTAACTGTATCCAATAGTTTATAATATTTTATTGTTTATATCTCGTTAAAAAATGAAAAAAAAATTAGTATTTTTTAAATAATCTAAACGAAAAAACTTCCTTAGGAAAAATTATATATGAATTTTGAAAAAGTTTTATATATTTAAAATCTTTTAATTACATATTTTTAATAAACTATTCATATTCATAAGTAAATGTTTATTAATTAAATTTACATAATATTTTTATAGTAAATTATCATTAAAAAATATTAATACACAAATGCACAACTAAGAATATGCAAATGTAATAGTAGATACATAAATGTGTAAATTAAGTAGTTAACTTTAAATATCTAAAACCATGAAACTTACAAATGGTTTGTTAGTGGTTAATTGTACCAAATTGGTAATGTATTATCAACATTAGATTATCCTTTCAGGTATCCATGGTATAAATATCATTATCCATTATCATTAACTTTAACTAAAGACTCCATGAAATCTACGATACAGTAATTTAATGTAGTGCAATAACAAGAGGTCCAACGATTGTATCATTATAGCGAATGATGTAAAACATTATCTGGAACAAAATAATTTTTATTAATATAATTGTGCATTAAGCTTACAAATAATAAAAACTTATATTAGCCTAAAAGATTAAATAATTTATTCAGAAAAATATTGAATGTAATGTTAATTTATAATTGTATTTATAATCATAAATCATATTTAGTATTTTTAATCTCCATGTTTGTAGAATAAAATGAAAAATATAAAAAATCTATTCAACCATGAATTACATCAGAAACGTAAATTATTTATAAATTCAGGAAAATATATAATTTGAGTAATATTAATTTGTACAACACAGATAGAGAATACCAAAAAAAAATTACAGAAACTTTTAAATTCTGAAAATTTTAATTGTAATTTTGTTACAATTTGTAATAATATACTTTACCTGTATCGGTGTGGTAATATTAAAGTTGATACATTAAATCTTGATTGAAGTTGATAATTGAGATTCATCTTATTGGAAATAGTTAATTAACATTAAAAATAGATAAAAATTAAATTCAGCTTAATAACCACAATATTGCATAATTATTAATAAAATAATAAAAATAATTACACTTTCTATATATTAAAATTTAATTCATATTATTATTAGATAACGTATCGATTGAATTTGATGTGCAAGATCAAATACAATGATAACACGTATCCCTGTTAATATATATGAAATATAATTTTTATTAAATATGATTAATTATTATTTGTGTCCAATTATTTACAATGTAAAGCATTAATTACTATAGAGAATAATTTGTTTAAATGAACGAAGTCGTTTCATTTTTAAAAACAGTTTATTTTAGATAGTTAGTTTTATACAGTATTTTACACAAAAAGTGGAAATTTAAATAATCTTCAAATATTTTACAGACTTATAGAACACGTTTTATAATAAATCAAATTATCACTTTGAAAATGTAGTGTTAAATGGTAAGATGAAAGTACTTTTATCATTAACCATAAAGCACATAATAAACAGAATATGCATTGTTTAATAACACGCTGGATAATAATGTTTGCCAATTAATTGTCATTAATTCGACTGATACTTTGGCTTAAATTTCTTTTTAAACGAGTCCAATAACCAATTCTCTCTATTCGAATTGATATATATATATATATATATATATTAGGAAAGATTTATTTTAAGTGTGTAGTATAATACGTACACAGACACACACACACACGTAAATGAAAAAATACAAATTATTTTATCTATGCTCGTTAAAATTCTTTATTAGGTGATCTTTATGTACACACACACGTTTCAATAAATTTTTTCAAACAAAACACTCGCGAACTCAAAAAATCATACATTAACTAAAATATATGAATAGTGCTTTGGCACAATATGTATTTCCATAAAGAAAGAGAAAAGGAAAATGAGAAGAAAAAAGAGAGGAAAAATGAGGCAAATAGGTGTAAATTAGCTTAAATGATCGGTAGCTCTCGTTTTAAAAGTTCATACGGTAGCCTGATATTCTGCCACGGAATGGCCTATTTACAGAGGTGTTACTCCTATTGGAGCCAGACACTGCAGCACCACGTGTATTATTATTAAATTGTGCCAACGATTTACCACTACTCCTCATCTGCCACGATTGCTCCCTTTCCAGGAGTCGCTCTTCTATGATCTCCAACTCTTCGGGATCATCATCTAGCATAACAGGACTAACGCCTCGTACTTGTATCTCTTTTCTGTCACGCTCCATTATTTCCATGCCCCTGCTATATGAACTGCTAAAGCTGTTTCGCATCTCGTATTCCTCTATTGACTCTCTGTGTCCTCCATATTCTTCCAACGTTCTCCCCACGTCCATCATATTACTTCTAGGATCCATCGCATCCAACATTCGATCTCTTTCAAGCTCACGATCGCGTTCACGTTCGCGTTCACGTTCCCTAATTATCTCCATGGTCCGTAAATCTCTCAGGTTTATGTCTCTATCTCGAAGTTCTATGCACCTAGTGCGTGAATCCATGCTTCGGTCTCGTACGTCAATCGGTCGATCACTGCCAGAACGCTCTCTTAAAATGTCCATGTTGCAGCGAAGATCCACAGAGGTTATCTGCGCACCCCCGCCGCTAGCGATGGATTGCCGATTAGGTGAGTAACTTCGCAACCATGGATTCTTCTGTCTGTCACGTGCCGAATTATTAGTTAGACTCCACCGTAAGTCCTCATTATCCCGCACTTTCGATGCGTGGTCATACGTTTCTCGCATGTTCCAATCTAACCTGTCGTTTAATGACCTCCTCTCGTCATTAGTATGTGCACTATGATTTAAATCCTGCGGACAGACCTGCATAGCAAAGTCGGCCATCGATGGTTGGGTCTGTACCGATACAGATTCTTTCACCATTTCATCCGTCTGGCAGATCTTCTGATGAGTAATGAGTCGCTTCCGGTCGATTAAGTGATGTTGCTGTTGCTTCGAAGTCAATTGATTTTCTTCCTCATCCCAATGAATTTCTGTACGACCCTTACGCAACAGAATTGAATTCGAGGTTGTCTCCGTTTTGTCCTTTTTCGATGGGTCGAAGAAAAAGCGGCCCTTCATCTTAAGACGCGGATCCTCGGTCGGAAGGCTGCGCAGCGCTCGCTCGCAATGGCGTATTATCTCCGGTCGGAATCCTGTCCTCGACAAATTAAAGTGTTACAGGCGTAATACATTTTCTCTTTTGCTATTCTGTATCTTAACAGACACGAGTGTCTATAGTAGCTTAGGTCGTGTAAGTGCACGAAAGACAAGTGCGGACATAAAATTACTCACCTCGGAAAAATGCTGTCAAACTGGATGAATCTAAAATAAAATAAATTCGTCAGACAGCTCGGGGGTTTTTTTTTTTTATTCTAACTGAAAGTTTGGCTTACTATTATATGTTCATGCAAGCAAGGTTTCGAACAATTTTTGCTCAAACCGTAAAATTAACAGTAGAAAATCTATTGTTTCTTAAATTGCCTAACATCGTTTATTTTGATAAACACTGCAAGCAACTAAGCGGAATTGAAAAAAAATCGCACCTTTTGTTGACACCGAGGCTTCCAAGAGGCTGGATAAGCTAGTCTTTTCACTCTGCTGGAAAAGCGAAGAAGTTTTGTATAATAAAACGTTCGTTTGACATTTAGATATTCGTAATAGACATACGTAATGACATATTGATAATGAACTTACATGCATAACATCGATCTACCTTAAGTTAATAGATATATACAAATGTTTTTTAGAGTAATTACAAAGAGAAATTACTTTGATATCCGATATAATTGGTGGTTCTGGAGTTTTCATACGTTCCTCACGTTTACTGCGCTTTCTGAACATCACCTCGGTTGGCGACATGGAGTTGCGGTTTAAGTACGGATTCGGAGAATACTCTGATCCTGGTATGTTGGGCAGCTGATGTTGCATCGAAGGACCCATAGCAATGTTATACATGACTCCTCCTCCTCCGGGAAGTCCTTGTCCTGGTGCAGGTACAGGCTTTGGCGATGAAGATTGCATAGGATGCGGAATGGAATTCATAGGGGGCATTGGATTTCCCTGATTATACATGATTGGAGCGGAAGAATGATCCGACGGTGGTGGGCCTCGATTTATCGGATCGAAATTTATGCCTGGAGGGCCGGGTTGGCATCCATCATAATTTATGAAAGGTGGCCCGGTACCAGGTGGTATCGGCATACCTTGGGCCCCCGGATGCATAACCGCTCCCGGATGCATAACCGAACCCGGGTGCATGTCCATGGGAC